GTTCTTTATTCTTACATATGTATTAAGTTCTTTATTCTTACATGTGTATTAAGTTCTTTATTCTTACATGTGTATTAAGTTCTTTATTCTTACATGTATTAAGTTCTTTATTCTTACATGTGTATCAAGTTCTTTATTCTTACATGTATTAAGTTCTTTATTCTTACATGTGTATTAAGCTTACTCTTACATGTGTATTAGATTCTTTACTCTTACATGTGTATTAGATTCTTTACTCTTACATGTGTATTAAGTTCTTTACTCTTACTTGTATTAAGTTCTTTACTCTTACTTGTATTAAGTTCTTTACTCTTACTTGTATTAAGTTCTTTACTCTTACATGTATCAAGTTCTTTACTCTTACATTTGTATCAAGTTCTTTACTCTTACATGTATATAAGTTATTGAATTTTATGAGAAGTCAATGTTAATTTGATAGATTATTTTTGAAAGTATCATTCTGTCTTCATTTTTTGTTGTTCCAGTTATAAACATGCTTTTGAAGGTTTGTGGAGAATATATAAAACTGGGGGCGTTAATCAGTTGTTTTCTGGAGCTACAATGGCTACTTGCAGGGCCACCGTAATCACCGTTGGTCAGGTTAGTGTTTGAAAATATTGTTAAAAAAAAACTATGAGTAAATTGTAAGTTTGTTCCACCCAGTTCTGTTTAAAGTACATGCCACCCCTTCCCTGTGTAGCTCAGTGGTAAGCCCGAGGGCTTATAATACAAAAATCAGGTTTTGATACTTACAGTGGGCACAGCACAGATAGTCCATTGTATAGCTTTGTGTTTAATAAAGAGCAAATGAAGTCTCAAAGACTGCTACAAGTAAAGAGAAGAAAAAGGCTACAGAGTATAAGTAGAATAATAAAATAAAAGTTTTCATATATATGTTTTCAATTAGTTTCTCTTCAATTGATTAAAGTGCAGGTAAAAAGTAGTTTGACGTTTCTTTATTTGGAACCCATAAGGTACTACTAAATACTGTATATTTCACTTATTTATTGCTTGTGCCAAGTACTTGTAGCTGGAAGTAATGAGAAAAAATATGAAATATTTATTAATATTAATATTATTGTTTCCAGCTGTCAGTGTATGATCAGATAAAGCAGACCCTGTTAGAGACAAATTACTTTGTGGATAATTTAGTTACCCACTTCACATCAAGCTTAATCACGGTCAGTACCATTGTTTATTGTGTTAACCTTTCTATACAACATTTGATCTTGTTTAATAAATGTGTTAACCATTGTGCTCAGTCTAGATTGTTTTGTATTTGTGTTAGCCATTCTGTTCAGTCTAGATTGTTTTCTTATTGTATTAAACATTCTCTTCAGTCTAGATTGCTTTATAATTGTATTAACCATTCTGTTCAGTCTAGCTTGTTTTCTGTGTTAACAATTCTGTTCAGTCTAGATTGCTTTATAATTGTATTAACCATTCTGTTCAGTCTAGATTGCTTTATAATTGTATTAACCATTCTGTTCAGTCTAGCTTGTTTTCTGTGTTAACCATTTTGTTCAGTCTAGCTTGTTTTCTGTGTTAACCATTCTGTTCAGTCTAGCTTGTTTTCTGTGTTAACCATTCTGTTCAGTCTAGATTGTTTTCTAATTGTGTTAACCATTTTCTTCAGTCTAGATTGTTTTCTAATTGTGTTAACCATTTTCTTCAGTCTATATTGTTTTTTAATTGTATTAACCATTCTGTTCAGTCTAGCTTGTTTTCTGTGTTAACCATTGTTTCAGTCTAGATTGTTTTCTAATTGTGTTAACCATTTTCTTCAGTCTATATTGTTTTGTAATTGTATTAACCATTCTGTTCAGTCTAGCTTGTTTTCTGTGTTAACCATTCTGTTCAGTCTAGATTCTTTTATAATTGTATTAACTATTCCATTCAACAGTCTAGATTCTTTTATAATTGTATTAACTATTCCATTCAACAGTCTAGATTGTTTTTTAACTGTGCTAACTATTCCATTCAACAGTCTAGATTGTTTTTTAACTGTG